GGGCCTGGCTGGGACTGGAAAGCCAGGAGGTAAGTAGGAGGGCAGCAGGTGGGCGCCTGCAGTCACTCGCGGGGTGCTGGGGGAGTCCCCTGGAGGCAAAGGCTGCAGGATCCCAGAGCCCAGGGACAGAGAAGTCCTGCTCCACATCACTAAGGCTGAGCTGGGCCCCCTGGGACCCGGAAGGGAGGGACTCAGGGTGATGCGACGAGGGCCAAGCTGCAGGAGAGATCCCCGCAACGGGCTGCTGGGAGGGCACCTGCAGTCACTCGCGGGGTGCTGGGGGAGTCCCCTGGAGGCAAAGGCTGCAGGATCCCAGAGCCCAGGGACAGAGAAGTCCTGCTCCACATCACTAAGGCTGAGCTGGGCCCCCTGGGACCCGGAAGGGAGGGACTCAGGGTGATGCGACGAGGGCCAAGCTGCAGGAGAGATCCCCGCAACGGGCTGCTGGGAGGGCACCTCCTGTGGGAACCAGCCACTAAACCAGCCCTTGCCAGGAGGCGGCCTCCAGCGGTGGGCGGCCCAGCGCCAGCTAGCCCGGGACCCCGTCTCGGAGGGCAGCAGAACTCACCCCAAAGCCCACAGCACAAAGGAGCCCCCAGGCAAAGCCCTTACGCACCGAGCTGCCGACCGCACCGGGGACGCCCGCCAGCCACGAGCGCGCCCCGAACCTCGGCCTCTGACAAAGCATTCGGCATCCGTCACATTGCCGCCACCACGTGACACCCACGGGCCCTCCCCAGCCGTGTCCCAACCCCTCTGCGCCCAGCCACCCCCTCTGGATACACCAGGCTGCGTCAGACCTCGGCCTGCTCCGCCCGGCCCTCTCCGGGCGCCCCCTCGAGGTTCTGCTGCTGCTGTCTAGCGCGGGGAGCCGCCAGGTCGCCCACGGACACCCCGCTGACTTGCAGATTACTGCCCCTCCCACGTCCTACACCCCTGGCTCCACCGCCCGCTCTCCTGGGCGCCAAGCACGGGACCGCGGCATTCTCCCCACGCTCCCCCAGAGCCGTCGGCTGCTCCTGGCAACGCGCGGTACGGATGAGCTGGCTGCCCGGCTCTGCAGGCTCTGTCCCAAGCCCCCGACCTCTCCTCTAGCCCTGGCCCCCCAGGCACGAAGAGCCCAAAAGGGACGGGCACGTTTTGGAGGAGACGGTAGCAGAGTCGTGATGGGTTTCCCTCCACTGCACCGAGGATCACTGACCCCAGAGCGGTGGGGGGCGGGGCATGGCCCCTCTGGCCCAGACTGGCACAAGTGCAAAGCAGGACTGGGCAGAGAGCAGGAAGCCGGCTGCCCATGGGCCCTGGCCTGAGATCTCAGCCCACCGCTGCAGCTCTGCACGGCCTCAGGAGCAGAGGGTGCGAACCTGGCGCCGACGGTCAGACACAGGGTAAGCAGGAGGCCGGCTTGCCTATTGCACCGGGGCAGCCAACGGCAACACCCCGACCCCGTCAGCCCAGCCCTCGCAGAGCTGCCCCACCTTCTCAGGAGCGCCCGGACTCCCCCCCGGAGACCAGACACCCAACCCCCGGCTGGGGCCGCGGCGCGGGGGGGGAGGCAGCGGGGCAGCCCGCTCAGCAACTCGCCCGGGGTTAAGTGGCCCTGGCCTTCCGGCGCTGCGTTCTGCTCATCACGGCCTCTTGGCAGCCTCCCTCCCGCCCTGCGGCCGTCGCACGGGGCTAAGTGCCGGCAGCGCTCCAGGGCGACGTGCTAAGTGTTTAATAGGGTTTGGAAGTGGGAAGCCCCAGGCAGCTGCTGGCGCTGGCCGCTCCGGAAGCGCCCCCCCCGGAGTGATGAGTTTAAGAAGCTGTCTGCCAGCAGCACATTCTGAAGGGCTTTTTCCCCTCGCTTGGCTAATCAGCTACTGAAAGAAGAGCTCCCTCAGCCCCCCCAGCCCGGGTCAGCTGCGCCCCGGCGGGGGGAGCGGGCCTGGAACGGCCGGCGGCTCGCTGAGGAGCACTCAACGCGCCTTCATTCATTACCCACTGCCATGTGGAATAGTCATTGCGGGAGGAAGCAGAGCCCGAGCAAAGCCCCACACTGCTTCCTCCCAGCGAGGCCTGGCAGCCCTGCAGCCATTCATCTCGGCCCGGC